ACTATTTTAATTTTTTGAGTATTTTATAATGTATAATCAAAATTTGATTTTTTTAAAAACTATCCCAATCATATTGATTTTTCTTCGGTCTTAGTATGATTTAGTTAATTTTTCATTATTTTTTTACTTTTAAAATATCACCTCAAAATATATTAGAATTAAAATATTTCTTTCGAAAGTATATTCTTTTTCAAGCACTTCAACACTTTACCAAGAAGTCAAGAATATAAAACTTTGTTGCCGTATTTTTTTATCTTAAACATTTAATGGGAGTGCTTGCATACATTTTGTTGTATTGTTTGACGGAGTATCTATCATGCCTCATGAAACAGACCATTTCCCCATGACAGATCAGGCCAATGAATTTTTCTTTCTCTCTTTCTATAGGCAGTGATAATACAAGATGCTAAAAAAGATAAAAAGATTGTGTAGTAGTCATTACATGGAAATATTCTTGATTTGTTTGAATTAAATAAGTTTTTATAAACGATTAGTATAAGTAAACCACGTTTGACACCCTGCTAGGCAGTATAAACGAGGTGGATATAGCTCTTTATATATGTAAATTCATCTAAACCTAATATTTTTAACATATAGCATAACATATGTATGTGAAAATTTATGAGAATTTCAAAAAATATAATACATTTGAACTTATAAAGTATTGAGCACTTTAAAAACAGAATCTATGAAATTTAAATTTAGAATTCGCCATTATCATTAGTGTAATGACAAATGCAAACTCTAAAGTTTACAATGTTGAAGTCTTTGTTTTATCCTGTAACCTTTGATACCACCTAAGTACAATGTTTAGATGGTTGTTACTCGTTGTATATATTATATTGTTAGTTTAAGTATAATGTTTGTTTTAATTGTTACTTAAGTTTTATTATATCGTATTGTTTAGATCCACCATTAGGTGACGATGAAAAGTCTCATTTTATATAAGTAACGATCAATTTGGTGTGATCGCGTTATTACCTTAGTATTTTTTTCCCTCATTTTATATATCTTTATTTATTATTTAATGATTTTATTTTATGCTTTACCCTACCTTTTCATAACAGCTCTAGCCTGTATCCTACTTTTCTTATATGTTTATCATTCAAATTTCTGATGTGTGATATTATATAACACAGAGAACGATACATTCTATTCAAATATTATATTTATTAAAACAATACAATATAACATAATACAATACGATACATTATCCGATCGGTTGCAACATTACAGCCTGGGTGATATCTATATTACAAGTCAATCTGGAGAAGTTGACCTAAACATATCATTTAACTAGGGAATTTGGCCGTGCTTCGCGCAGTTATGAAATATATATGTAAATTTATTTTAAAAAATAATTATATATGATACAGAAATAAAAAAAAATCAATTATAGAAATAAGAAAAATGATATAGAATTAAAGCTTAAGTGAATTGCATTTTTATTATCAAATGTTTTCAAAAATAAAAGACTAATTTATTAAGAAAAAAATTCATATATTATGATGTTAATACATAAAATTCGGATAAACATATTTAAGGACTTGATTTTTTTCTTATTTTTGTCAAATGATAAATTTACTATCCGATGAATTTTCCTTTAGTTCGGAAAAATAAATGATGAAAATAAAAATAGGAGGAAATAGAGATAAATATTTCTATAATTCATTTCTTCTTCGATATTTAATCCTTTTTTTGTCCTTGTTTTTTCTCTTATTATTATCGTCTAAATAATTATTATTCTCTATTTTTCATTATCATCTAAATAAGCCTCTATTGCTAATTTTTCGTATATATCTTATATTATTATGGTGATTCATTAGAAGTAAAAGAAATGAACAAATTTAAATGGTTCTTCACCATAAGAAATATCTAATAATTCCGTATTTCAATACTTAATATGTCTTTTTTGAGCCATGAGTAGTAAAATTTAAATGTCTATTAGCGTAGTTAGTTGTGTTCTGACAAAGTTACAAATAACTAATTTAATTTGAGCCTAAATGAAATGTAATTTAGTAAAATTAAAAAATTTATAAGAACCTAAATTTTTAAAAAATATATAGAGAGAAACAACATACGAAAAAGTAAGTAAAAAGAGAAAAATAACAATACAATTTTGTCAAGTCCTTAATTACAAAAACAAAGATGATGCAATTATTTTTGAGCTTTTATTAGGCACCCCTTCTATCCATATCCAAGAGCCTTTTTATGGAGTCAAACTAAAGTATAAATCTGATACTATAACAATGATATAGAATATCACTCTTTCAAATATGGAATAAAAATAATAATCTTGAGTAGGAATGTAATGAAAAAAATAATATGAATTTATATAGACAAAATTGAAGAAATTAATATCATAAGGTATCTTAAATTTTGAAATTAAATAGTTGGAGGGTTATGAATATAAAAATTTAAATAAAAAGAGTTAATAATATTAATTAAAGTAAAAGTTCAATTAGGTATAAGTTATAGAGATAAGAATTTTAAAATAAATAAAAGAAGGAAAAAATAAAATAATGAAGACAAAAAAAAAAACTCGTGAACTATTCAACATTTGTTGGGTGTTTAAGTTTTATTAGGAAAGCAAGCAAATCAACTTCTTCTCTTTTTGTACAACTCCATTGTGTTTAACAAAAGTGAAAGATGAAAAAAAATACAATAAAAAAATAAACAAATATCTTGAAATATTAAAGCAATAAATATTGAGACTTTTAATTTTTTGTAACAAAGAATAATAATGAGTGTAAATAATTTTTCAGACATTTAAGTATAACAATAAATAGAGGAGTAGTAATTGATATATTATTTTTGTACAATAATAAGTAAATATAAAAATATGAAAAATTGTGGAAAAAAAGATAAATAGAATCTTTGGCCAAAGAGAGGTACAACTTCATTTCTCTATGAGATTTTTAAGTACAACAATATGTAATAGCTATAAGAAATGTATCATAGATAATATATTTTCAAGCATGGCAAAATTTTAGAATATTGAAATCAAAACAATACATTAATGAATCTTTAAATATTGGAAGCATTCAAACTTTATACTAATATGATCATCTCTCTTGTTGAATCTTTCAACATAATTAAACTTCCTTCTTCATTTTGATGATCTTGTACTAAATTAACGAGAACTCTCTTTATAATGAATCTTTGAAGAATATATCTTTGATCTTCATTAAAGTGAAGAACATATCATGTCACTATCTTTTCTATGATTTCTTATGGAAAAGATGAAGAATAATTTTTATTTATTTTTAAAAGAGAAAAAAAACTAGACTATTAGAAAGAAAGAATGAGAAAAAAACTACACTAATAGAAAGAAAGAATGAGAAAAATGAAAAATGAATATTCAACATCTCCATGAATTATTGTAATTTATAGATTTGATAATCCATAAGGATAAGTTGAAGAAACATGTTATTTAAGTAAAGAATATGAATAGATGGAGGGATTTTGTAACTCATTAGATTAAATTAGAATAGTAAATATGATTGTTTTTTTAATTTAATAAATAAAATATTTAATAAAAAGAATTAAGAAAAAAAATCTCAAAAAAGAAAAAAAAGAATGAAGGTCATACAGAGGTGCCATATGCCTATGTTTTTTCTTTATATTATATATAGATTCACATGCTAGAAGTTGTAATAAGGGATTTTTACAATGTATCTTTGACTTTGACAATAAAGTAATGATGATAGTAAGTGTTGATGAATATACAAATGACCGCTAAAATATAAATTGAATAAATAAATATTCAATGTTTTGCTTTTTTTTTTTTCTTTCCAAAAGGAGATTTAAACTGCGATATAATCTTAATTAATTCATCAATATAACTTTTGATATGTCTCCTCGAGAATAAAATTCTAAATTTGTTGAAGAGTCAAAAGTTTCACCAATAGAACATATTTCCTTCAACATAAAATACTCTCGTTTGTATAGTTTATAAGTTGGAGACTTAGAATATATTTTGTACAAAGAAGAATATTTTTCTTGAAAAACAAATTGATTTTTTATTTATTTCCTAGTGTTTGGCAAGTAAGATTTTTAATTTTTTTTTAATCAAGAGCGTTTATATGTAATCTAGCAAAAATCATAGGATTGAGAGGGAGTGGGTGTAGGGCCTCGGGGGTAGATGGTAAAGGACGAGGATTGAGGGCGTTAGGTGAGTGGATGAAAGGATACAATAAACATAAAATGTCACTAATAAAACTTGTTTTCCAATTTTCATTAGCGAAATCATTTTCTCATTTTTGAGGAACTTGTTTTTCTAGAAAAAAAAAATTCAACAAATTTTGTCCAATCAATTCACAAATTTCTTTTCCTTTATACCAAACACACCTTTCTAATTTTTTTAGGGTCTCAACTCTTTTTTACACTAAATAATCCTCAAAATATAAACACAATATAATACTTCTCATCCATTTTAACGGAAAATATGTCATAATGATTACACGAGTTATAAAGAATAATGTCATCACTTTCTCCATTTAAATCCACTAATTATTATACACTTTAATGTTTTATTATTAAAATATACATATACATCAAATATAAGTAATATTAAAGAGTTTGTAATCCAGAAACAATAATATATGAATTATTATGCAAGAAATAATAATAATATTATGGAGTGTCTGATTGGTAATGTATGTTTTCATATTATTTCCCTGATATGATTGATGAAAAATACAGTGATATTGTCCATGATCTTTTGTTTCCTAAAAATTAAAACCCCAATAATTGCTGGTTTTTATATATTTTTGTTTCATCTGTGAAGAAAAGAAAATCCCAAATTAATAAAGTGTAAATAATTTGTAGGAGTCTAAATGCACAAGGAGACCAAAGCGAGGGACCATACCTGTATCCAATTGGGTCAATTCCAATAAACAATTTGATAAACATAGAGGGTCTAATTTGCAATTTTAACATACTTGAAGTGAAGCTAATCTTAAAACTCCTCTTTACGCGGTCTGTGACTATCCCTTCTCTTTCGTATTGGGAATTTGCAAATACAACTCGCATATTCTCTCTCCCTTGCTCTCTTTTTAAAGCTTCGTCGCCGCCGTCGTGTCTGGTTGCTTCGATTCGCCGGTAAGTATTCCGATCTCAGCAACAACGTTCCGGAAAAGAGCGTAAATTTACCCTTAAAGTCTTCAATTTCTAGGGGTTTCGCTTCTTCGCTGTCTCTATCTGTCGTGTCTTAGAATTTTTCAAGCTATTCGATAAAAAGGGAAAAAAAATTGGGGAAAAAAATTTCAATTGATTTTTATATATTTTGATTAGTTTTTACCAGATCTGCTATTGAGTTTTCAAATAACTCGATTTTTCATCGAGCTAGGGTTTGTTGGGTTTGCTGATTTTATTTGTGAAATTAGGGTTAGGGTTTATAGGTGAATTTAGGGTTTTCTTTGATACAGACGTTTACATGGCTGCTGGAAGACATGGTGGTTACAGGGATAATGAATTTAGGGGGCGTGAAGCTGAGTTTGAGGTTTCACGGAGGGAGCTTGGTTACTCCAAGGGGGATTACGAAAGAATTAGGTCTGAGGATCGGGATTTTGATAGGGATCGAGTTCATGACAGGAGTGGTCGAGATAGGGGTAGGTTGAGACAGAAGGATGTAAAGGAAAGGGATTTGACAAATGGGAGTTTTAGGTCCATGTCAAGCAGGAGTGATTCTGGTAGTAGTGATGGTGATGGTGGTGGAGAGAGGAGAAGTGGTGGGCTTGAGGGGGATTACGAAAGAATTAGGTCTGAGGATCGGGATTTTGATAGGGATCGAGTTCATGACAGGAGTGGTCGAGATAGGGGTAGGTTGAGACAGAAGGATGTAAAGGAAAGGGATTTGACAAATGGGAGTTTTAGGTCCATGTCAAGCAGGAGTGATTCTGGTAGTAGTGATGGTGATGGTGGTGGAATGAGGAGAAGTGGGCTTAGTGTCAGGGCTGTTGACCGAGAGCCTGGGGAATTGTCTAGCGAGAGTGGGTCTGATGGGGCTATTGAGTCAGACCAGAGGACCAAGAATGCCGCCAATGGGAATCAGTCTTCTGTACAGAGCAAGAAACGAAAATTCTCTCCAATTATATGGGATAGGGAAGATAAGGAAGTGAATAGAATGTCAAAGAGTAGAAATTCACCAGCAGCTGCTAAGCTACCTCCTCCGCCTCCATTGCCAAAGTCATCTGGCCAGTTGGCTAATTTCCCCCCTGAAAGGGTTGAGCAGGTCTCTCTGTTGAACACTAATAATGTTCACAGTATGGAGCCATCCCCAAGTAATACAAATACAGCACTTGGTTTACTTATGGATGCATCTCATGAATCTCCAGTTGACATATGTTCTCCACCTGTTGATGAGGAGCAATTGCCCAGTCAGGAAACCAGGAAAGTAGAAGATGAGGAATATGTGCCCGTGCCGACTATAAGATCATCTCGATGGGCAACTGATGCTGACTCTCCAGCTGATGAAGGTGAGATTTCAGGTGATGATACGCCCCTATTGAAAAAGCGACGAGCAGTTTCCCAGTCAGCTGAAATGGGTGGACGCAGGAAATCACTAACTCCTGAATATGAGGAGCTCAAGAGAGAAAGCTCCGGAGGAAATAGAACGAGGTCTTCAGACTCTGATGAACATATTAGGTCTTGCAGCAGAGAGAGTTACCAGGGCAATGAATTAGATAAGAATGACTCGATGGATGTGGATAAGGACCGCAATTATGATGGGACTAGTGTTAGCTCAGATACAGAATCTGAAGATGAACATGATTCTCGTGGTACACCGGAGGCTGTGCTTCCTCCACAAAGGAGCGTAAACATGCTGCAGGGGTGTAGAAGCGTCGATGAATTTGAGCGGCTTAACAGGATAGATGAAGGCACTTATGGGGTTGTTTACAGAGCTAAAGATAAGAAGACAGGAGAAATTGTTGCACTAAAGAAGGTTAAGATGGAGAAGGAACGAGAAGGATTTCCCCTGACATCTCTCAGGGAGATTAACATTCTTCTTTCTCTTCATCACCCCTCAATTGTAGATGTCAAAGAAGTAGTTGTAAGAAGCAGTCTTGACAGTATTTTTATGGTGATGGAGTACATGGAACATGATCTGAAGGCATTAATGGAGACAATGAAAAAACCATTTACCCAAAGTGAAGTCAAATGTCTTATGCTCCAGCTTTTGCATGGTGTCAAGTATCTTCATGATAATTGGGTCCTTCACCGAGATTTGAAGACTTCAAATTTGCTTCTAAACAACCAAGGTGAGTTGAAGATTTGTGACTTTGGTTTAGCTCGTCAATATGGGAGCCCCTTGAAACCATACACTCATTTGGTGGTTACTTTGTGGTACAGGTGAGTTTCATTTTTTATTCTTCATTAATCTGAAAAGATTTAAGTAGATACTCATACTTCTATTGCCGTGTGTCTGTATGTAGATGAAGGTTTCTATTGAGTTCTTGCCTAGCTGGCTTCTATTTAGCCAGTGATTGATTAGTTTTTTATGCATACAGGGCGCCAGAACTTCTGTTGGGAGCCAAGCAATATTCTACTGCAATTGACATGTGGTCACTTGGTTGTATCATGGCCGAGATGCTATGCAAAGAACCACTCTTCAATGGGAAATCAGAAGTTGATCAAATTGACAAGGTATCTTTCTAGCTGCTGATGGAGAATTACTTGATTTTTGATGACATTTACCATGAGTGAAGTCTTCTTAATATACTTCTGTGGTTTTTCTTACCAGATATTCAGAATTCTTGGCACCCCTAATGAGACGATTTGGCCAGGGTTTTCCAAGCTTCCTGGGGTGAAGGTCAACTTTGTAAAGCATCAGTAAGTATTATCTTCTTCTATATTCTATTGCTTCTCTTGTCGGCCAGAGATTCATGTTTTTATTTTTGCCGCTGTTTTCCCAGGCTTCCAGCTTTGGGTGATTCTGGTTTGGCTTTCTGGCCTCCTCTGATGACAATCTATGGTGGAGAAGTATTTTCATGTTTCTACTAACCATTTGATTTGTTTGTAACAGGTTTAATAATTTAAGAAATAAATTTCAAAGCCCTACAACATCCTTCATGGGAAAACCAGATCTATCAGAGTCTGGCCTTGACCTGTTGAATAAGCTTCTGACTTATGATCCTGCAAAGGTGATGGCAATAACATTTGGGAACTTCTAAATTTTTTTTATGTTGTTTTTACCTCTTTTGATATTGATGTTTATATGACATATTGCAGAGACTATCTGCCGATGCTGCGTTGAACCATGAGTGGTTTCGTGAAGTTCCTCTCCCCAAGTCTAAAGAATTCATGCCTACTTTCCCTGCACAGCATGCACAAGATAGGTAAATCTCCTTTCAGTGCTAATTTTCATATGGCAGTTCGGTTAGTTCCTTGGACTGTTATTTGATGTTCTTTGTGTTGTTTTTAGGCGCGTGCGAAGAGTAATGAAGAGTCCAGATCCTCTTGAGGAGCAGCGAAGAAAGGAACTGAAGCAAGGGGTGTTGGGAACTGGTGGATTGTTTGGCTAAGATAAGTGAATAGTGCTCAGTAACTGTTTGAGTTTTGCTTTCTCTTATACTCATGGGTTGATGTGGTTGAGGTTAGAGCCATGCACTTAAAGGAAGTTGCAAAAATTGTTTGCTAGACGATCAGTTCAGCTGTTTTTTAGCAGGCTTATCTGACAATTAGATCAAGAAACAATTCTTTTGGCTATGCGTTATCAGATCTGTTGCAGGTTGACCTACTGGGCTCTGGTGCCTTGTCAAAATCTCTGGGACTGCTTGCATGGCAGGGGTGGCATAGTGAGCTTACCTGTTAAGGAACAGTTTCAATTGAAACTCGTGTATGTAGCATATTTCCCATTGGCAGTGTAAACAATGATCTTGAAATTGATTTTGTTAAACATATGGATTGGTTTCGTACTTCTAGTATGTCGATTTTAATTTTCATATTCTGTTTGCAAGAGATGGTGGTGTAAAGCTGATGGGGAATTCTTAGCTTTTTCATTGATGAAGAATTTCAATGAAACTATTGCACATAAGAAGGTAATTATTGGACCTGAATACATGGATAGTAATCAAGGATGACATATATGCTTTCCCGTCAACATCGAATGTTTTACTGCTCTCCATGTTCACAGCTTTGACTTTTCATTATTGTTTACTTCCATACTTTTCGTCTGGCCCTTTCCATCTTCTTGGGCAGGTTGCACATCATTGTCTGGATCACAAGGGATTAGGACGCATAAATATCACATGTTCCATTGTTTTTTGGGACAAACCTTAGTAGTGAATGACTACATATTCCTGTACATGTCTTAGTGATGTCATTCAAATGTGATGTGAAGTCATGATGACGTTTTCAAAATCATTTAAAGGTTATATTGTGATATTATGAACAAGCTGCACGATTAATTTTTTTCTGTAGGATTTGTTTCAGAATCATTGCATGTTTTAGGGACCAACTATAGTTACCTCTCTTATCTACATGGGGTTCTGAAGTTACTGACTGCTAGGTGGAATGCTGATAATGGAAGTTAACCATGGATGACATTATTATCTTAAGATTTTGGTTTAAGTTGTTTCTTTCAAAGATTATTTCAAAATGCTGGACTTAGGTTGAAAGACCAACCATTTTCTTTGGTTGAAAGCATCACCCGGTTTCTAATTAACAAAGTTTTGCCAAGCAAGATGAAACAAGACCTGATCTTGAAAGTACTATTGACTTAGTTACTTGAAAAAAATATATTTTTTCCGTTTGGAAGGAAATGTTGATTCGTTTTTCTTGCTGTGACACTATCTAAATTGCAAGTAGTTCATTCCTTGATGCATTTGGTTACCCTTGTTTTCCTTTAGCATGATTCCATATATAGGTAGTGCCTTGGAGGTTGCTTCCATTTTTTGTTTCTGACTTTTGTATTACGGTTTATTCTATCTCATTTGTTGAGAACATGGATACCCATGTTCCTTTTGGCTTGCATGCCAAACAACGGGTCTACATTTTTTGGTTTCTTTTTGTATTTTATGTTAGGAAATTTTCAGTTTTTGATGTAGAATTAAAATCTATAAATGTCACTGCAGTATCAAGGAAAGCAGGTTGAGGAGCTTATCTACAACCTGGCATACATAGAATTTCAAATTTATTTTCCGTACTTCAGATACTCGTATTCTCTGCCCAAGCCAGTAAAGGTACTTTACTGCCTCATCTGCTAAAGATGTACAAATGTTAAGTTTTGATATCTTGTGCATTCTTTTTTAGATGGGGGTTTCTTATTTGAGCCTATAATGGATCTGTCCTCATTGATTTTTGATACTTTCTTTCAAATCTTCTGTATTGTGGAAAGATGACATTGTTTTGCTGTTACCATCCCTTGTATACATTCTTTAAGAGGCAAACTGGGTATTTCTTGGTTTGTTGCAAGTGGGATTTTTGTAAGTTGATTACTGGAAGGAGCTAGTGTTATATCTCCACCCCTGTTGTTGATTAGTTTTTATTTGTGTTCTGGTGGCATCATAAGGGACTTCAATAACCCTACTTGGTTTGTAATCCAAACTGCGAAGCTGTCATTCTTTGAATTGTTTCTCTGCAAAAGACATGTATAAACTCTTGGCCTTGAATCCTTGCAACTGGGAGAAGTCTTGACATTTTCATTTGTTCAATTTTAACAACTTGCATTGAGTCTTGAAATTTCACTTTGCGACTTGTGTTTTTTGTAATGATATTTATTTTGGATGGAGGGGGTGGATTACTAGTGGTGAAGACCCTGGTTGTGCTTCTCAACTTTTTTTTTTAACCATAACCCCGACCCACTCCCTCAACTTGTTTCAGACCAGAAAGAGCAGGTGAGCCTGGGTGCAAATGCCTGCCAGAAGGGGCTGGAAATAGACGAGTAAAGGCTTGTATAACCACGTATGCTCATGTTTTTTCCTAAGAATTTTCTTGTGGGGTTTGAGGCAGGAACATTAGATTCATAAGCCCGGAAGCTCATCTACTAGCAGGGAAAAGTGGGTGGACGGACATGTTTCAAGTGTAATCAGTCCAGACTAGGGAGAAATTGATACAAGTTTTATAGCTACTTGAAGTTAGTCTGTTATTCTGGAATGTTTTAAGGGCTATGAAATGGGAGATGGATGTTCCACAGTGGTGCTTGAAAGACGTCCAAATGTTGCAGAAGGATGGTTAAATAAATATAGCAGTTAAAATATTTTACTGGGTACTGTTACACTTGGTCTTTGATAGTCATCTCTACTTGATTTTGTGGAGGTCCTTCCTTGCATGTTTTGGTCACCGTGTCTGCAGAACTTCTCAATCAGAGAAGGAGAAAGGAAAGCTTTAGAGAGGCAAGATGAATGTGGCTGATAGCACACACTCCTTGAAGAGGAAAAATCGTATGCTACTTATTATAAGCCGACTTGATTCTCTTTTTGAATATGCTTGTAACTAAATCACCTTCATATTTCATCAATATCTAATGTCATGCAGTGTTGTGTTGCAACTTAGGATGGAATTGGTGTCGATCATAAATGTTGAACCAAGTAACAGAATGTTGTCCTGTGTAGAACACATTTGCAGTGTCTGTGAGAAGTTCTCGTGGCTGTTGCTGTCGTCAAGGGATGGCGAAGTCCGCCCGCCTCCCCATCCAATGACAAAATTCTGTTGTCAACCCGCTCCACTTGCACTCTTCAAACTTCTGACCTACTGTTTAAGGAATCCGTCTTTTCTTCAACCAAACCTTCAATCTATTTCTGCTAGCACCATCCTGTAAATTAGCACAAACCATCGACAACAGACTCAGTTTATTTGAGATGAAGACGATGTTGTCTGTGCGGCAGGTGAAAATAAACGAACACGTACTACCTGAAATTACTCCTTGTGCGGTTTCTTCTGAAGGAGATGATGATGCATGTCTAGAAGATTATCATATAAAGAGGATGCTAATGTTGGCAGATGGAGAAATATACAAAGTACGTAGAATGGACATCATTATCTTCAAATGTCATAATTTTTTTTTAATATTATATCTTATTTTTTTAATTTTATATTTATCAAAATTTATACAAAAACAAGTTTTATATAATTAGATGTTGAAAAAAATTAAAGGTGACAAATGAGTGAGCTAAGTTAAAATTTGAATTAAATCAAAATGATTTAAGATGATAACTGCTCAAAGGTTACTCTAGTTGAGATGAAATGACTCAAAATGAACAAAATAATGAGTCATATCTAACTCGTATAAAATTTTAATTTTTTATTAATTGATTTCATTACCAATAATTTTCTTTTCTTTCATGTTTTCCCCGTCTTATTTTATGTCACTTTTTAACTTGATATGGTGTTTAAGAAAAAAAAGAAATACTTTTGAAATTTGATGTTTAAAATAATTCTTAAATACTTGTGTGGTTGTAAATTGTTTTTTTAAGGGTAAAAGAAGAATTTAAAGTAAAATTATCTCTAATTATAGTAAAGTGATAATCTTTTTGGGACAAATTAAAATGGAAAGGGGCCACATTAAATAGGACGCGTGGAGTATAACTATATATAACATTCGAGAAATTTTTTAGAATTGAATTTCTCATGAATTAATTTAGACAACAAAATTTTAGGGTTAAACATCTATACCATATATAATAATTCTACCTAAACTTTTAAATAATTACCTAACATCCCACTATTTAAGATTTTCTATTGTAATTGAGTTAAGATATATGGAGATATACCACTCCCTAAAAAATAGTCTAGACTTATAAACCACATGCTAATCTATCCCATAAATCATGCTTTTTGTTGATTTGGTGGAGTAAAGTTTCAGTCCATCACTGTTATGGCTGACCGAACGCCCCCTCACTAGTTTGGTATAGTTTTCATCGGAGTTGGAGGTGGTAGAAGAGAGAGACAAAGGGTAGAGGAGGAGAGACAGTGATTAAAATATGTAACTTACTAAATATGCATACGTATCTAATTAAGAGTTCATGTATCTGACAATGTATACATGTATATGAGTTAAGATCACATGTATCTGTGGAAAAAAATTTTGATGCTCGAAAAAATTGGAAGAAATTTGATTTTTTTAATTTTTTATCATTGTATCTAAAATAAGTCTTCATATATCTGTCAACTATACATATGTATTTGAGTAAGATTTTGTGAATAGAACTTGAGTTATGTATTTGAATTATAAATTTATAAAATCCTGGAAGTTTTGGTGTATCTGAACATGTTAATGTATTTTTTTCACTGTATCTAAAGTAAGTCTTCATATTTCTGAGTACTATTTTATGAATAGGGCTTCAATTATGTATTTGAGTTATATTCCGTAAGGTCTGATGGTATCTTAACATGTTAATAATTTTTCACTATATTTGTAGTAAGTTTTCATGTATCTATCAGGTGTGTGTACAATAATAATAATAATAATAATAATAATAATAATAATAATAATAATAATAATAATAATAATAATAATAATAATAATAATAATAATAATAATAATAATAATAATAATAATAATAATAATAATAATAATAATAATAAACATAATAATAATAATAATAATTGGATAAAAAGGGAAAAAAAATTGGGAAAAAAATTGGGTCTAATTTGCTCTGTACAGAAGACTGATTCCCATTGGCGGCATTCTTGGTCCTCCGGTCTGACTCAATAGCCCCATCAGACCCACTCTCGCTAGACAATTCCCCAGGCTCTCGGTCAACAGCCTTGACACTAAGCCCACTTTTCCTTATTCCACCACCATCACCATCACTACTACCAGAATCACTCCTGCTTGACCGGGACCTATAACTGCCATTTATCATATCCCTTTCTTTTATATGCTCTCGGTCAACAGCTCTGACACCACTCCCATTTGTCAAATCCCTTTCCTTTACATCCTTCTGTCTCAACCTACCCCTATCTCGACCACTCCTGTCATGAACTCGATCCCTATCAAAATCCCGATCCTCAGACCTAATTCTTTCGTAATCCCCCTTGGAGTAACCAAGCTTCCTCCGTGAAACCTCAAACTCAGCTTCACGCCCCCTAAATTCATTATCCCTGTAACCACCATGTCTTCCAGCAGCCATGTAAACGTCTGTATCAAAGAAAACCCTAAATTCACCTATAAACCCTAACCCTAATTTCACAAATAAAGTCGGCAAACCCAACAAACCCTAGCTCGATGAAAAATCGAGTTATTTGAAAACTCAATAGCAGATCTGGTAAAAACTAATCAAAATATATAAAAATCAATTGAAATTTTTTTCCCTAATTTTTTTCCCCTTTTTATCGAATAGCTTGAAAAATTCTAAGATACGACAGATAGAGACAGCGAAGAAGCGAAACCCCTAGGAATTGAAGACTTTAGGGTAAATTTACGCTCTTTTCCGGAACGTTGTAGCTGAGATCGGAATACTTACCGGCGAATCGAAGCAACCAGACACGACGGCGGCGATGAAGCTTTAAAAGAGAGCGAGGGAGAGAGAATATGCGAGTTGTATTTGCAAATTCCCAAATCCTTAACTTCACCCTGCACGCGAAAATAATTGTAGAATGAATTTAGTATTTTTTATAATTTGTATCTATCAAATAACATCTGTTATACTTCACCTTCAACATATGATATTATTGTGTAGTCATGTAAATTTATGAAAGCTTAGACAAATAAAACAATAAAGTTATTGGTTTCAATACACTCTTCTCCTACATAACAAAAGGGGGACTAAAGTAGTTTAATAACACGTCATGGGTTCCATGGGCATTTCAAGTTTTTCTTGTGTTTCCACGAAATCAGTTGATATACAATTTTTCTAAGTATTGGCCCTGCCTTAGTATTTATATGAGATTTCATTTATTCGATGATCCCTAAGCACGGGTCATCCCTCGCTATTTACATGAAATTTCACTTATTAATTTCAGAAGCCAAATTTAAATAAAAAGAAACCTGACAATTCCATTTTCCCTAAATTCCACAAAAGAAAAATCAAAGATATAACAAAAGTCTAGTGCTTTACCTATTAGTTCCTTCCTCTAGAACCTCAAATTAAGCTTAAGGAAAGAATATAATAATACCCTTAAATTTGAGAGAGACTACTGGAAATTAAAAAACTCGGCTTTGGAAAAAAGGCGCTAACTACTTCTCAAATCGCTTTACTACGGATGTGAGAGAGCACAAGGTGTTCAACTGCAATGCAATAAGGTGAAGAAACTCCAAGCTAAACCCATAAGAACTCAAAAAATTGATTCCGATGAAAAATCCATATATGAACAGAGGAAGTTTATAAGAATTCTGATAAAAAAAAGTTACTGCATCTGAGAAAACACAACAAAAATCTGAAACAGAAATCCAAAATAGAACACGGAAACCATAATCACCTAACCAAAATTGAAACCATAACGATTAAAATTATTGGGACTTCCAAAACACAAGGAAAATCGAACATCACAAAAACTCAGAAAATTAATTTAGATAAAAAAACCCGTATATGAACGGAGGAAGGTGAAAAGAGTTTTGATAAAGAAAATCCAACTGAAATAAACCACAAAGTAAAATTCAAAGACCAAATTGATACTACATGTGAGAAAAGACAACCAAAATTTACTGCATGTGAGAATATATGGGTTTTTCATATATGAACAGAGGAAGACAACCAAAAATCTGAAATGGGAATTCAAAATACAACATGGAAATCATAATCACCCAACCAAAATTGAAAGCATATGGATTAAAATTATTGGGACTTTTGTAAGTAAATTTTCACATACCCAAATCAAATTTGGTATATTCACACACCTAGATCAAATTTAATCACCCAACCAAAAGGATAATCCAACATCAATAACAACCCCAAATGGAAAAATAAGCAAACATTCACACACCCATATCAAATTTGGAACTTCGACTTTGACGAAAAGGAAGATGACACAAAAAAAACTCAATTGAAACATGTAAAAACCTTACCTGGAGAATGCTGAAGAGAAGAACTGAACTTTGAAGTGCAGACGGTGGAGCATAAATGTCACGACCCGATTTCTCAAGTCATGATGGCACCTACTATAACCCACCAGTAGGTAAGCCAACCTCTAACCCGGAACAACAAGTAATGAGTCTGAGGGTAGAAACTAAACAAGAGTAGGCAAATAACAATCTAAACAGGCGGAAGCAAACTAAAAACATATATACAAATAAAGATCCCTCCCAGAACCTGGA